CGTAAAAGCAATCAGGGACAGATGAGAAAGGCAACCAAGTGGCGGTAAACTGAATGCCAGGGGACTGTAAGCCATAACAAGGTGCCACAACCACACTCTGAGGAGTTTGTGTGCTTTATGTTAAAAGAACAGAAGGCTTATTTGCTTTCTCACCAAGGGTTAGATGAGAAGATCGATACCACTCTCATTTCTAACTAGAATTTAAGCTACAACCAGCAGCTAGTTAGCACAGCTTAGCATGAAGACTGGAAACAGGGACAGAACGCTAGCTTGGCTCTGTCCACAGGTAACAAAATCCCCCTATCAGCGCCTCCAGTGATCACCCTATGTATGTTTTATACATTTGCCTAATTTGTAAAAGATCCAAAGTGAAGAAATGATTTTGTCTCTTGGTGTAGTCACTTCTAGTGAGAATGCCAGGAACGCCAGCAGAGGTGGTTGCCTGAAGTGTTAATTGTGCAGAAGTGTTAATTAGTGAGCTTTGGAGGTGTTGGTGAGCCTGTTGGCTTTTTCTTATTTTTGGACAGAACCAGGCGTACACACAGAGAAATAGGGGTATCATTTCTGTACCCAAAGGTTTTTTTAAAAAGTACCCTGTAAGGTATTAAAAAGGTCCTTAAGGTGATAACTGTGGACCTTTGTTTAATTTCAAAGGTACAAAATCATGGCTGACAGAAAGCCTACAAAATAAAAGCATAAGGTAGAGGAAAATGTTACATGTTATCAGTGATCACAAACGCTTGATTTAAACTCAGGTGATTTGAGTGATTTTGTTCATTTAATCAAGTAGCTAATTGTCAGTGTAGCAGAGTGAAATGTCTCAACTGCCCATTGCCATTACTCCCAAATGTATTTTATTTAAGTATTGTCACTGTTTTATTGTCAATAAATGGGGACCTTTCTGTATTTATTTAACTTTATTTTATGCCGAGGGCCACCCTTATGAAACCTCTGTGGAGTTGGGTAGTCCACTTGTAGTCCGCACTGCTGAAGCATACAGAGTTTAAAACTTGATTTGTCCATTACAGCATTAACTTGTTCTGGACAAATCAGTTCTATCTGAACAATACAATGAAAAGATACTGAAAAGTGTTGTAACGAACATTTTGGTGAATAATTGTAAATGGCCTAAAGATTAGAAAGGTGAGCTTGAGACTGGAAGGTCATCAGTTCAATCTCTGAATCTGACAGGATAAATCAGGGTGGGGAAAGTGAAGAAGCAGCACTTGGGTACCCTTGAACAAGGCCTTTACCCCAACTGCTGAACTGGGCAGCTTCCAGGTGTGAATGTGATCAGGGTGATCCTTCCTCTCAGTGAACACCGCCTGAATATTCATTTCAAAAAGGATATAAAGATACATTTTTGTCACAAGGGGTACAGAAATGTTCTTTTAGATGTATGTTCAAAGGTACAGTGCCTGTATCCTGCTAGGGAACAGCTGGAGCAACAAAGCATTTGGACCCTTTTAGGTCCATTCCTGTACCTTGATTTCTTAGTGTGTAATGTTTCCAGGCTTTGATGCTAAGCTAACCATCACTTGGCTGTACCTTCATATTTAACGGACACACATGAGAGTAGTATCGATATTCTCATTTATCTCTTGGAAAGAAAGTGAGTGTGTTTCCATAAACTATTTCTTTATCCTGGAGTTTCAGTTGCTTTGGGAGAAAAAAAAACCTGCATTTCAAAATCTGTTGGCTGCCTCTTTAATGCAAAAACAAGCTAGCTGGTGTCCCATGAAGGGCATTTTCTCTAGCTAGTATCTGGCAAATTCCTGCCTTCTCTTTGAACACATGTGACAAGCAGCGCTTTGACTCTCAGGCCAAATATCACTGATCAAATGTTTGGTGTCAGCCAAAGGGAGACAACTAGGTTACTCATATGGGGGGCACTGACCTGCTCCAAGTATGTTTAGCTAGGAAACCAACACATGTACTGTACATACTGTGGCCCTATTTTGCACTTGTAAGGTCATACTCATATGCTTGTGTGTTCATGCATATAAACATGCAGAGTAAAACGGTGGCTCCAAAAAGGCCTGGAAGTGCAGGGGCGATTGTGGCTCAGTAGGTACCCTATTGCAGGTTGTCCAGTAACCGGAGTGATGGCGGTTCAGTTCCCAGTGTACTTGATCACTGAACCCCAAGTTACTGCCCAGGCACCCGTGGCTGCTCACTGCTCGTAGTGGGTCAAAATTAGGGACTAATTTCAGTTTAATGTATGTAAAAATACTGAGAATATGACAAAGACTGGAAGGCCCTGATTCTTCTCTCTGTCACTGAGCATCCAGCATCCAGCCCATCACTGCATTCAAACAAAAGATCTCAGCTGAAAGACTGTCATTAGCTTCTGCCTCAACCCCTTATTTGTCTTCCCACACAGAAAAGTCCCTGTAAGATCTGTTGAGCAAACAACTCACAGATGCTATTTAAGCTTGTGGAGTCCCTAAAAATACATTTGCGCTCGGGGCAGTGATTTTGCAACTCCGCTGATGGGAGCTTTGAGCGTAAGTGATCCCGCTGAAAATGTCCATCAATAAGAGCAACAGCATTTGTAACATGAGGACGTGGCTTAGCTATGCACCGCCAGACACAGTGAATGTAAACTATTCATGTCTCGAAGCATTATCTACTGCTTGCTCTGGCTTTGTGGGGTGTCTGTGGTGGTCTTAGGGTGCCGGTGATGGTCAAAGTTCAACCCCGGAGTCTTTGCTTTGTTCATGATGAGTGGCATGAGCAGGATAGGCTTTGAATTTCAAGAAGCTATTAAGGACGAGCATTTAACCCCCGAGGTGGAAAGGAAATGATTTCAACCCCCACCTCGGTCTTCAGGTAAAGATTTTTTTTTCCTCTCCTGGGGAAATAAACATTTACATTCCTGTGCTCAGTGTGTTAATAAAGATTAAGCTGAATTCAAGCCTGCGTGTCAGACAGCAAGTCAGGTAGCTCATTCCATACATACCTTTACTATTGTGTGGATCTCAAAGGGCATCTCCCTCAGCCCTTTGAGCTTGGCTGAGGACAGATGACATTTTCTATGAACATTGTTATTAAGGTGGCCCTGGACAGCTTCAAAAGCGACAAGCTCAAGTCTAATGCCCTATCACTGCAGGCTAAGCTTCAAAGAACTTAATGTCTCTTACTTTAATGAAGGTATGGGATCAAAAGGAAGAGGAGTTGCCGACCCAAGCCATCAATTATACAGTAATCCAAAATTCCTTTCTCACTGTAGTGGAAACTGTTATGGTCCTAACTGAATCAATATGAAATATAGTTTATTTCTAAATGTGATAGAGTCGGCACAGAAAAGGTTTTGTGTTACAGTTTGTTAGTACAGTTCATATCATCACACATCAGGTCAGGCCGGCATTTGACCTTTTTTTGGATCCACATTTAGGTGGTGTGGAAGGCATTCATGTCTAAAGATACAATGCAGACCTTCATTAAAATGCATGATTCTTACAAAAAACAGAAGGAACTGTTATTGTTATTGGAGCAGGAAAGGAATGACATGGGTCTCATCAAGGTAAATCAGAAACAACAGCAGATTTCAATCATATACCAGCAAAGGCCAAGAGTATGAAGGTTTCATTCCAACCAGTTGATCTCAGTTCATAAGCAGTCAGAGCTTGATTCAGATAAAACTCTTCTTGACCTTAAATGGCACATGGTTGGCAGCGCCGGGCGTCTAACTTGAAAGACTGATGCATTTCATACTTGTGACTAAATCTAAAGCTGTGAAAAAGTAGGCAAAATGCTCAACTGGTGCACAGCCATCAACACATGGCCCACGTTCCAGCTGAAGGCCATGTACCTGTGGTCCACATGATGAAGGGACTGCGGCATAAAGAAGAGGACTATGCCTGTATGATTATTCAGTTCTGCGAGTAATTAACAAGCACTGGAAACCAAAGTCTGGCTCATCTTTTTGATTGATTACATTTGTGACATAAAAGGGAGACCACAGCCAGCTTGAAAGGAGAGAATGAAATTTCTATGTCATTGGATATTTAGAGGAGTCATAACAAAGAGAACAATTAATATTTATTGGCAACTGGTGTAAATCAGGCTGTTCAAATGATTTGCTTTCCAGCCGAGAGATGGAGGTTGTGATCGTTGTTCACTCTCACGTCTGTACAATAAGTATGTAGCCGGACAGTTAGCTTAGCATAAAGACTGGAAACAAGTGAAAATAGTTAGCCTAGCTCTGTCTGAAGGTAACAAAGGTGAAATGTTAATTTGTGAGTTTTAGAGGTGCTGGTGGGTAGATTTTTTTTTTTACCTTTGGACAGAGCCAGGCTAACCATTTTCCTGTCTTTCCAGTATTTGTGCTAAGCTAAGCTAACCGGCTGCTGGCTCCAACTACAGTATATATGTGATATCAATCTTCTCCTCTAACTCTTGCCAAGAAAGCAAATAAATGTGTTTCCCAAAATGTCAATTGAATTAAAATTTTCAGTTCAGTTCTGCAGGAACAGAAGCCAGTCCATTTTGACAACTCAGGACCAAAAGTCCGAACCAAACAAGATTTCTAGAAATCTTTATTCTGCTGCGGCTTCATGGGAAATCTGTGGAGCATGTAAAAAGTTCAAAATGTTTATATGGGTTTAAAGGTGTCCATGAGTTCAAAAACTTGAAAGAAGACCCTGTGTTTGTCTAACCCCAAAACCAAGATTGGTCCTGCATACACCTGAGCTCAAGTGGACCATAGAAATGGCACCAAATTTCAACAGAACCTGTGATCTGAGTTCTCTTTTCAGCATTTTCAGTATGTGGACTGAGTTGACCATGTCTTTCCCTTTCTGGCACTGTGCTACAAGGCTATCCTTAAAAGCCTCCAACATCGTCCACACAGGCAGACACAAAACCACCAAGCATCCCTTTGACGCTGTGCGCCGCTCAGCGCGTAACGACCCGGGAGTGTGTTTCTTTAAGAATGTAAGGTGGGTGAGCCCCTTTTCCTGACGCACGCCTGGTATGCAAACATAAATTTAGCAGCAACGTGTTTGCTGGGGGAACAAAATATCTGGAAGCGACCGTGAAGTGTCATGTCGTCTCCGGCAGTTCTTGGCTGACTTCTACCTTTCTCTCTCTCTCTCTCTCTCTCTCTCTCTCTCTCTCTCTCTCTCTCTGTATGTGTATGTGTGTGTGTGTGTGTGTGTGTGTGTACACTGGAGCCGGAGCGCAGCGCGGAGAGGAGAGCAGACCTCTTTACTCCCTGAGTGACTGGACAGACCGGGACAGACGGACAGGGGAGCGGGCACTCACAGTTGTCTCTGTGCAATTTGAAATTCCATTGAACTTGATCAGCGCCAGAGAGATGACAGGGGGCTGCTTGTGGACGGCGGCACTGGTTCTTGTCGCTGTTTGTGTGGAGGTAAGCTGCGGTGGGTTCTTCAGATTGATACAAGGGTTGATTCAGTCATTTAATGTCTGAGAGGAAGGCGCGTCACTTCTGTATGAGACAGATGGGTTAGTGAAGTTGACGCACCACGAAGCCGATATTGGTTTACCCGAATAAACCACATGTTGCTTTTATTCAGTTTATTGCCTGCTGCTTTCAATTTGACCTGTCCTCTGTCTCTGAAGGGGAAACCCCAGTTGTAACCCAAAGTGACTTTTTAAAAATGATATTCATACTCTATACAATTTATTACAGGTTGCTCTAATCTTTCATATTCACACAGGACCCATTATTAGCAATGATTTGTCTTAGGCATGGCACCCAAATTAGCTGTCTTAACAGGGAACTCACTTAAATAAACATTAAAGATGATATAGAGAGTGCTTTTTTTGTGGGATGTGATGAAGTGTTCAGTAGTCCTCCTCTTCCTCCACTGATGCTGAAGCAGGTTGCTGCACAGTGGGTGAGATGAGGAACAGTGTGCTATTGTCTGCAAGTTTGAAATATCTCACAACACCATCTCACAATAATAAACAGGGAGTTGTGTAAATGAGAGACAGTAAACACAAAATCTCTAACAATATGTGATAAAATGATTTGATGGGTAATTTCTTTAATTAATGTACTAAGACCTTCTAAAGTGGAGTCACAACCTCCCTTTACCTTGCAATGTCAAGCCTGAAACTTAACAGCATGGGTCATCCTCTGAAAGGTCAAAGCTTATCAGTCTGCTGTGTTGAACGAACTTCTAAAATCAGTGCACTCAGCTTACACTAATCACTACTGGAACACTTTTTTTACGTGTTATCTCCTAAATGCACATGCATCACCTGCGCAGACCGAGTTGTGTAAAAGCTGAGACACGCTGCATAGCGCCACAGCAAGAGCTGAGCAAGAGTTTTAAGTGGAACACAAAACAGTTGTTTGGCCCGGCAGACAGATTTCAGGTCTCGAACAGAGGGGAGGAATGGCACTGTCATCATGTGTAAATGACCAGGACAGGTGCTAATGGCACTTCAAGGTGATTTGGGCTTTAGACACCCTGGCTGCCATATAGCCCAGCTGAGCACGTCCACGCTGTAATCAGGGAATGTCTGTGACAGAGAAGCACTTGAGGCTTTGCAACTCTTTCCAGGCCAGTGTCCAGTGCTGGCCTGATTATGTTACAGCTTTGGGGAGGAAAATCATGAAATGGCACATTAATGGGCTTACAATGCCTATGAGCATCAGTGTGAAAGCTGCTTACATAAGACCTTTAGATTATGCTTGTATGCCATGATTATATGAGGAGTATAAATGATTTATTGTAGACTAGTTCTTAAAATTTTTGTACCGTGTTACTGCTACTCCAAAAGGGTGTGTGTTTAATTCTCCCACATTAACAGAAACATTGCAAGTGCATTACAAATGATTGCACTCAACTCTGAGCTGTTCAGCTCAGCGTCTAGAAGTGATACACCCTCACATTGACTTCTGGGTTACAACAAGTGGCGGTGGTCTGATTTTTTTTTTTGTGTCTCTGTCACATAGCCAGACTGAATAATGACTCGGTAAGTTTTTTGCTCAAGTGGTCTTGACAAGCTTTCCCATCTGTGCAAGCAGTGACTGTGCAGCATGAGTCAGCACTGGACGTGTATCTGTTCACACACACCAGAGTGACCCAGTGCTTTGCTTCAGAGACCAGGGAGGGATCAACAAGTGCTGCCTCCCGGGGTCCCTGCTATGCAGTGGCCTTGTCTTTTCATCCTTGCTCTTAGGTCAGAGTCTCTGCATTTCTTTTTAAATAAAGAATGAGACTCTATATCTGTGTGTATGGCTGTTGGAAGTTGTGTGATTTGTGTGTGTGGGCCAAATGGCCTGTGGCTCCAACCCTAAATGGAATAGACCTTCCTTTGTGGGTGACATAATGACATACCTCGAGTGATTCTTGGAGGGTCTTGTTGCTCTCACTCTATTCTCTTGATTTGTGCTGCAAAGTGGAACCTTCCAGAAACATTTTTTTCCCTTTTTGCTGGATGGGGATTTGAAGGTGGTTGTGTGTGCAGGAGGCTGTGCCCTTAAAAGACACTCAAGCATCTCTTTAAGCACCAAGGTTAGTGCCCGTAAATAATGATTCGGCAACTGCCAGGGCGATGGAGCAAACCAAATCCTTTTTGCATGCTTTAATTTTTGTTCTTTTTGGCACTTGCCTCTCTGTCCCTCTTTTGATTTTGCCTTTTGTACTTCTTTTTGTAAAAGCTGGATATTTCTCAAGTGTTAAATCTTAGTTTTTTTTATTTGTCTGTTTTGACAGGTAGAAATGCACCAATCCAGCTTTCTCTAGCCTGGTACAGATTCTAATACCCAAACCCCATTTATCAGCCAAAAAGCACCATTAAGTTTTCAAAAAAATTGAAAATCAGTAAAGTTTTGTGTACGACCAATCCAGATATGCTTAAGCTAATGTGACATAACATAGCTCCCCCATAGTGTTTTTTAACTCCTGTTGTTAAAAGGTATTCTTGTAGATTTGTAATGTAGATGAGTGACTTTTGACCAATACGCTTAATAAGATCAGGGACATTGAAGGACAGAAATAAAACTCAAACAAAAACAAAATGGATGTGTACTCCATTTATTTTTTTCCCAACGCAAATTCAGGCAAATATATTAGTTTAAGCCTCCTAATAGAATTTCTGCAAATACACTGACAAAGATATCTCTATTGATGAAATGACTTTCTTTTTGGCTGTTATTGGTTAACAACATGGTTTATGGCTTTTGACATATGATGGATTTCAGTCAGCTGCCAGACTTAATCGCAGTGCCTGTCTGCCACACTCACTTCACTACATGCCTTTCTTCTAATTACTCAGCTGGAATTCAAAAGGAAATTAGCCACAAAAGCAACAGATTTTGATGTTTATTCAAGGAAATGGTCCCTCTCGGAGTCCTAATGCAGCGAGCGGTGTATTGAAGTCCTCAGGATGGGGGAAGCTTTGGGGTCTAATGGCAGGATTAAGTGGGGTCACGGTGTGCAAGCGGTCCCAAGTGAACGTCCGTCAACAACAACATCTCTTGTTCTCCGAAACACGCTCCCCGGCTTGATTGCTTCATCATAAGGACCACAAACTATCCAATTAGCTTTCATGAGGGCCTTTGTTGTGGATGCAAGTGGAATGGGAAGTGAATTAATTTTGAGAGGGATTGGTCCCACTTGAGGAGTAAAAGGAAAGGGCTTCAGAGAACATCTGGCCAGTGATGGATGGATGGAGCAAGTTTTTGGAGTGCTTTAACAAAACCAAGTGTTTTCAGTTACACTGCAAAAGCCTTCATACTCATCTCATTGTTCCCATCTGGCCTTAATCTGTGGAGTGAGACTGAGGGATGCTTAGTGAGGAAGTGCTGAAGTGTACAGTATGTGTGCAATGTTGCTCTCAATCCAAGGCCAAAATTCACCGGTACTCATGTTTGCATATATTGCCAAGGTACCCGCAAAATGTTTCGCTTTTCATGCGGGGCTCTTAGAGGTCCTGGCACAGTAGCAATGTTTCCTGTGTGTCCTACTCAGGTGTACCGGGATACTGCTCTTCCAATGCTGGAAATCAAGAGCGCAGGCATTCATCCCTATATAGCCGGGCCAAGAGGAAGTTGCTTTACACCATTCTCAGTGGGCCAATGAAGGAAGAGTCCTGCAGAACAAAACAAGACATGGCAGCTTCTATTGGATGTTCAGTCCTGAAGAAAGTCCAACAGTATTTGCAAAAAACCAATAGCTAGGCTTAGCACTCATTCCTAATTTGTTTTTCTCTTTATGGAAAGTCAGTTCAAAGAAGGAATAGTAGAAAAACAAAAACGTGGCATGGCCTGAGAAGAATTAGACCTGACTAGCAGTTCTGGATGATGAGCTTGTTTCTGTTATTGTAGTTTTTAGAAAAGACCTATTTTCCCCAGTGATGACAGAGTGAAACTGCAGATAGCAGAGTGTTTTTGTCTCTGACTCTGGAACCTCGTTTCTAGTTATATTAATAGTCTGACATACATGCCGATTCATTTTCTGGGGAAGAGTTTCATGTCTGTATGCTAAAAATGAAGCTAGAGCTAGGGGATCGTTAGCTTAGCTTAGCTTAGCTTAAAGACTGGAAGGAAAACTGCTAGCCTGGCTCTGTCCTGTTGTTCTTTATGCTAAGCTAAGCCAACGATCCCCTGACTCTAGCTTCATATTTAGTGTACGGACACGAGAGTCGTATCGATCTTCTCATCGAAATCTTGGCAATAAGGCGGAAAAGGGTATTTCCCAAAAGTCTTTCTTTAACATCAGGAGTTGCTTAACAAACCGGCATGTGAAAATTGCAAAGATGTGGAACAGAGAATATGGCTTTTGCCGTTTCCCTTTCAAAATCGTGTGGAACTTGATAGTGTTGTTTGCCTTTCAATCACTTGATGCCAAGTTCTAATAACATGCTGTGACTGACTGCCCAAAGCGGCCTGTGCCAGTAAATGGCATAACTCGTTGGAGTCATGTTGCTGTGTTTTGCCAGAGTGTATGCAAGAGGGAATGTTGTTCAGACTGCAATATCAAAAAGCATAATGAGTTTTTATGATTTCATATGGCTCTCAGGAAATAGTATACGTTTTATTGGGTCACACAAACTGCAAAAACTCCTTGATTTGATATCAGGCTGCTGTCACGCATTGATAAAGATCTGCCAGCAGATGGCAACATTACAGCAGAAGGACTTTTGGTGTCCAGTTCAGCAGTGGTGGCCTTGATATCTCCCACGCCCATCATAGATAGTCAGCTCTATTGTGATTTTGCAGGTGGCTGCCCTCTGTCCCCTCTCTGTTTCCTCTGGAGCCCCTTATGAATGTATTTGTTCCTTCTCCGCGAGGTTTATTTGTCATTGCCGAGCTTGAAAGCCGTGCCTCTGGCATCCTGTTCCTCTGATGAAACATCTTGTGCTCCATCTGTAGCGAACCCGCGTCCCCTCCAT